TTGCAGAGCCAGAAGGTCCCCCCTGAGCCTCCTTTTCTCCAGGCTGAGCCCCCCCAGCTCCCTCAGCCCCTCCTGCTGCTCCAGCCCCTTCCCAGCTCCGTTCCCTTCCCTGCACACGCTCCAGCCCCTCAATGTCTCTCCTGGCTGAGGGTCCCAGAGCTGCCCCCAGGGCTGGAGGTGCCCCAGCAGGGCCAGCACAGGGGACAATCCCTGCCCTGGGGTTGGGACACACCAGGGCTGGCACAGACCAGGGGCCTTCTTGCCCACCTGGGTACCCCTGGGCTCATGTTCAGCCACTCTGTGCTGTTGAAAAAGAAACTGCAGTCAGGATAAACATTTTGGAATAGAAAAGAAGAAGAAGAAAAGCTTTATTAAAATATCTTTTCCCTACAAAATAACAATCCATAGTGCTTGGGCGTCTTCTGTTGTTTGTGTGAATGTTTTGGAGAACTGACAAGTCCAACAACTGCCTTGTGTGTTTGACCACGATATGGGTCAGGTTTGGTGAGTTTTGTTTCAGCCTGAGCCCTGTTCCCTCACACTGGTCACTTTGAGGAATTACCAAGTCTCCTGTAGAGAATGAAACTGGGAAAAAAGGAGGGCTTGGCTCACCCATTTCACTTTGTGAGGGTTAAGCTCCTCAGTTTGAAATAAATGCAGGGCTTATAAAAAGAGATTCCTCTTTTCACAAAACGCAAAACAGTCTCTGTTTCACGGGACAGCAGGAACCAAAACCAGAATGAATATTTGGAATTAGTGAGAGAGACACACTGACTTCTGCAGGTGAAAGGATGCTGAGGTTTGAATTGCGGTGTATCTCAAGAGCTTGGGGAGGGAAATAACTGCATTTGTGTAAAAAGCTTTTTGCAGAGTGTCTCTGGCATTTAGCAGTGACCAGTAAGTGATCTGCTGCTCTGCCTTTGCAGGAAAATATCACCCATGGCATCCAAAATGAGCTTTATCACGCTGTGAATGGGACTGGACAAGCCCTGAAGCAAATAATGGGATTTATTACAGAGCAGGCTCAGGCTCTGCCGGCCACATCCTGCCTGTGCTGAGCTTGGTGCTGCAGCTGTGCCCTTATCAGTCCCAAAGTCAGGGGCTTTGAGGGTTTGAGACGCACTGAGGTGAGCTGCAGGCACACCTTTGATCCTGGGATGGTTGTTGTCGTCATGAATCTCATTTTCTGATGGTAGATATGCTAATATTAATTTTTTTTAGGAAGGCATTGTTTGGATGAGAGGATGCTGGAGTCCTGGCAGAGCGTGGAGAGCATTTTGTGCTCCTGCTGGGACACAATATAAGCCAGCAAAGCACAAAATAAATGTGTGCTGAGTTGAAGTAAATGAGCAGTTCTGCAGATTTCCATGAGGCCATTTGAATATGTGCCTGAATTAAGGCTTAATACTTTGCAGGATTGAGCAAGTAGCAACCTACACAAATATCAGTGGGGCTTATCAACGGAATATGCAAAGCAGGGACGGTGGTGTTTTACCATTATCTGATTGTTTTGGCCTGACTACCACAGTTAATGGCAACAGGAGGTCTCAAAAAAAAACCTGGTGGAGAGTTTTCCGTGGAAAACCTCTGAAAGGAGTCCTGAAACTGGTCAGTTCTTTCCTGCCAGCTGCTCCTGTCAGGATATTCCTCATTTGTCAGATCTTAATTAATAACTGCAGAATACTCAGAGAGGACACTTTTGGTGTCCTGCTGCCCCTCCATGTGCTTGTGGGAGTTTAAATTCGTGGGGTGGAATGAAGTTACCCCGTAACTGTGTTTATTTCAGCTGTAATTTGTGATCCTTATTTGCTGGTCGGGTTTTGTTTCGGGGTTTAACAGTTTACATATTCCACTCTCAAGGATTCCTGCTCTGAGGTTTTGGTCAGGTGAACCTAATTCTGAGTTACACACGTACAAAATGAAAATGAAATTTAAAAAAGAAAAAAATCAAAATACTTTAGAAGGGGGGAAAAAAGGGACTTCGGGGTCTTCGCTGTTGGTAACTCGGAAGTGAAGGCAGAAGGGAAAAACGGATTAAATTATTAAATTAAGCAGGAGTATTTTGGTTTCTTGCAGCTGATGAGGAGCACCAGCAGAATGTGGCAGCAGCAGCAGCAGTGGCCAGGCCTCGGCCCCAGGTGGAGGAGCGAGGAGAGGGGATGCCCCGGCGCCGCAGGAACATGGGAAACCGGCTGATGGCCCAGAGGAGAGCCCAGCAGGCTGAGGAGTGGGGGGAAGGTAACTCTGCCTTCAGTTCATCCTCCAAATGTCAACACAAACCTGATTATTTCCAGCTTGACCCTAATCTGACTGCATTTTTGTCAGTGAACATATAGGTAGAGTGTTTTACTGTATAACCTTAATCTAGGCTGGCTTGCTTAATTTCTGTTTAACTGAATTACAGAGTCTGAATTATGATATTTTCTACAGAAATGAAGAGTTCTATTAATAATAATTCCTTTTATACCCATAGGTAAATAATAAATTAGATGGCTACATTTTAATACATCTGGATGCTTAGGAAATATGATTGTCCCTATCCCCATTTCATCAGTGGTCCCTACATCCCACCCTTTAACTGCAGTCTCTGCCCCTTTCTGAGGTGAATCCTGGCTGTCTCTCGGTGCCAGGACTGCATCACGGCATATTCTTCACTTACTTCCTAAAAACTTACTTCCTAAAAATTTCCTGCTTAGCTGTGCAGGTTAAGTTTGGGAAAACAGAATCCACACCTTGCATTTACTGCCTCGCTGCAGTAAAATACTGGTTTCCTGCAAACTGATGGAAAGCATTAATTTCCCAGTGTAATCCCTGCAAAGTCTGGAGTTCTCTTTCCAAGGAGCCCATCGAGGTGGTGGTCAGGGTCAAGCTGATTCCCTGGAGATCACCCCAGGCTGCAGCATTTTGCCAGCAGGTTGTTGACAGCGAGCTGTGTAAAACCCGTGCTGGATTTACAGTTCATAACTGCATTTCTGTGGTGTGGTCGTGGCCAAAAATAGGATGATAAATAACATCTTTCTGCACCCTGTGTAAGCATCCCTCCCTTCACTGCTGAAACTTCACACATTATTATCTTCGTTGCTGCAGGGATGATCTCACCATGATTCACCTCACTGGATCCGTTCCACTTTCAGGCCGTGGGTGAAGCGTTCAGGGTTCTGCTCGAGTGGGGTTTGCTTCACTTGGCTTTGCAGTGGAGGTCAGGGTGCCTTTTTGGGTGTGCAGGAGGTTGAGAAGCAGTGAGCACAAACTTGTGCGATGCCTTGATTAGGGGCTGTTTGCACTTTGTCGAGCCTTTCTTGCTCTCACGTTGACAGGTGAACGTGCTTTTCAAGCTAATTACGTTCAGCAGCCTCACAGATGGAGAAGGGACAGGCCTGAACTTTTCAACTTTGGTTATTTCTTCTCATGTGAGAACACCCTGGAAAGAAAGTGGAATCTAAAAATATTTAGTTTTCAACTCCAGACATCAAAAGTCTTGAATGCTGAAGGCCGACAGTGAAGCTGTCAAAGCAAACGGCTCATCTTATCATAGTCACTTCAGCAATAGAAGAATCTGTGTCATTGGGCTTTATAAATAATTCTTTTGCAGCCTTCTGTACATCAGATGCGAGTGCTGCCTCTCTTGCATGAAGTTGCCTTTGAAATGACATCCCTCTTTTATTTGTTTTCTCTAATTTCTTTTCCAGATTAAAACAGCTTCTTGCTCCCTGCTTCTGTTTTGTGCTTCCGTGTGTGGTTTTATCTGTGTTTTTGGGGTGGGTTTTCCAAGTGCCCGAGCACGGGGGCACAACAGGAACACCAAAGTGTTTGGAGAGTGAGCACAGACTTGAGCGGTGTGGCTGAGAGGAGAAGCCTCTGTGTGTCCCTGGTTCCCCAGTGTTGAGATGTTGCCATTATTAATTAATATTAACCCCCCTCTCTGTCTTGGACTGAGTGTGCTGCAAATCTTTTAGCCTGGCCCTGAGCTACCTGCAGTAGTGTGGAGTTTGGGGTCTCTTTTTCCCCCTTGGAAAAGGATGCATTACACGTTTCAAAGCCCACCCTGTGGGCGTGTGACCTAGGCCTGGAATCCCTCTCGGATTTGTCCCCTCTGTGCATTTTGTCCATGTCGTTGCAATATGAAGCAGTTTGGGCAAACTACTGCCTCCATTTTCAACCTGCTGAAGCAGCAAGTTCTGCCCACAGCAGTTTTATGTCGCAGAAGTAGTTGACTCACACGGAGAGAGAGCCCAGAGTGCACAGAGCGCTGTGTGATGCCAGGCAGTGCAGCACCAGCTGGGGCACCCAGGGCTGAAGAGCAAAGTTATTTGGCAATTCAGACAGAAACACCAAAACCAAACCAGTCTGGCCTCTTCAGTTTTGCCTTGTAAATGCTTGTGTTACTTCAGAAAGCTTCTGGTCGCCTGCCGCTGGAGTGGGTTTCTTTTTTCCTGGTTGGATTCGTTGGAATCTTTCAGTAGGAAGCTTCTGTTCTCTGTGTGGAATTTCCACCCTGGGCATGCGCTGAGCTTTGGGCAGAGCTGCCTGATCCTGCTCTGTGTCACCCCAGGCTTCTGCCAGGAAGGGATTTCTTCCCCAACCCTGCAAGATACCCAGGACTGCCCCTCAGGGAGGGTGTGAGGAGGCCCTGGCTGGGTCTGTGTTCTGCCTGTCGGGAGCTGGTTGTGCTGGGGAAACGGCCTCAGAGCAGCAGCACTTGCAGACTTTGGACTTTTGGTTCTGTGGCGTTCTGTTTTCCATCCAACAATCAGATTGCAGTTCCAGAATGAGAAAGGAGCTTTGAGGGTAAAGTGGTAGCCCACAGTTTCTGCTGCCTGTGCTGAGCCGTGTCTGTGCCAGGGCTCAAATCTCTGACAGAGTAATGGGGAAAGAGAAAAAACAAAAACAAACCAAACCCTCTAGGGAACAAGGATCAGAAAAACTTCTAATTGTGCGTTCTGTAGCTGAAATCTGATTTACTTGCAAGTCTGGCTGAGGAGTCATTTAATACAGAAAAGGATGGTCAGCGATTATTTTGAATATTCAAATCTACACTGACTGTCAGTGGAACTAAACCAGGTTGTAATCCTCCCTTTGGCTCAGTGGGGTGGGGTAAGACCCCTGAATTACTTGGAGATTGTCACAAGCAGAAAATAAAGGGTGAAGCACTAAATGCCTCGACTTTCCCACCGGAATGACACCACAGGGGGCAGGTGGGTTCCCTGTTCAGGGTTCCATGTGGGCTGTGCTGTGGGACCAGCTGGGTGCCCACGCCGCCTCAGAGTGCTTTTCAGTGGTTAGCTGAGTTCTCAAAGGAGATCTCAGTCAGAAAACCAACCCCTATTAATACCCTCTGATGGCCAGAGATTGCTGGGGAGGCAGTTTTCCTTGGTGACAAAGTGGATCTCTAAATGACTGAGACCCCTGAGCGTGTTCCACCCGGCGTGACTTCCAGGCTGGCTTTAGAAAAATGGCTTTGATTGCCTTAAATTGCCCAATTTAATTCCAGCCACAACATTCCTGCCTTTCCTGCAGCCCTGTTAAAAGCCGGTGTGCTCTGCAGGAGGGTGCCTACTCCTTTCCCTGTGGAAAAGGAGTCTGGAAAGGAGAGTTGTGTATTCATGTGGTTGGGTTGATATCCCGGCTCGCAGACTTTAATTAGCTCTGGTGTATCTTAATTTAAATTGAACCCAGACAGAGGTGGCTTTGTGGGCAAGTTAGAGCCAAGATGAAAACGAACCCGCTGCAAGGCGTAAATGGGTGAGGATTTCAGGCATTAATCATTTAGGGCAGGAGAGGCTGAGCTGAGCGAGGGGAAAGGGGATAAATTGGAGGTGGGTTGGGTGTTCTTTAGAGCATGGTGTAGTGTGGATAAATAGCATCAGTCGTTTTCCAGTTTTAAATCCCATTTATTTACTGATTGAGGAGGATATTCTTAGCAATTGTTTGTGCCTGAGTGATGCTCTGAGTGCATCCACTTGGACTCTGATCACCTCTGAGTGAACACAAGGGTGTTTTATTGAGACTTTTCTCTCAGTTGCTGGTCATGTGCAGAAAAATTCCAGGTTTCCAGTTGAGCTTGTCCTTCCACTCACCGTGCCTTGAGCATTGCAAAGAGCTCAGAGGTGAAGAAGGTCCTTTGACACTGCATTTTTTTTGTTTGTTTCTTGGAGCAGAAGGTGACCCAGCCATCTGATGTTCCCATAAAAAAAATTAATGCTGTAATTTCCCTATCAAGTGACAAGTGAGGATGACCAAATAATGGCAGGAACGGTGTTGGGGTCGTTTTGACCCCGCTGTGGTAAAAAAAAAAGAGGATGAGGATCTGAGGCGAATGTGGGTTTTTTTGGAGGGCTGTTGGACCTTTGTGCAAACAAGTGGGGAAAAAAACCTGCCTGCCTGGTTGTTTGGGAACTTGTAGGAGTTGGACACAGGTTTTTGCAACCCAGGTTTTGTGTCACCCACTTTTGGCAACTTGTAAGTAAAACATGATAAAGAAAAGTTAAAGTCCGACGTAAATGAAATCACGAGTTCCTCTCTTCTTTTGCACGGCAAGACTTGGAGAACAGAATCTCATGGTTTCCTTTTTAACTGTTAGTCACTATTGAGAAAGAAAAGCACAAAACAAAGCAAAAAGGTTTTTAAAGCTTAAAAAATTATAATTGGGCATGTTAAAATGCCTATTATTGCTTTGTGTAGCATCTTAAGTTCAGCATTCAAATCTTGCAGCTAAAAAAAAAAAAAATCTTGCATCGGTGTTTCCTGCTAGTTCGGGGGGAAAATAATTCAAAAAATAATTTTCGGTCCCCATTCCGTGATGGATATCGTGCATAAATCTGAGAAGGATGCGTTTGTGCTCAAGTTTCTTAAAATAAGAAGTACTTTTTCGGAGTGCTGAAAGATCTGGAAAAATGTATAAATTTAGAAGCAGTGATGTGGTCCCACACGGTTCTGGTGAAACGGAGCTACATTAATTGTGGTGGTTGAAATAATTTTAGTGCTTAATCAGTAGGAAAACCTTTCTAAGTACAGTTAAGCTTTGACTAATATCCCAACCAGCGAATCAAAAGTCACTTTTGACTTGCTGCTACTCATCCAGTGACTGTGGTGTTATCAGAGTGCCCACAGCGTGTCTGCCCTGGAGCCAGTTCAAGCACAGACCCTGGAAGGGGGAGGGAGGTGTGTGGTTTCTCACTTCTGCCAGATGGCTTTATCTGAGAATAAACTTCATGGTTTGAGTTCTGCCCTGAAGGTCTGATGGCCTTTGTTTGTGCTGTGCTTTTGCTGTCCTGAGCGTTGGCCGATTCTGCGGCTTCGGATTAATTAACCAGGGTCTTGTTCTGTTTCTGAGCTGGAGAGATACCAAATTAACGTAAGAAACTTAGAAAAAAAATATAAAAATTATGACTAGTTATTAGGCTATTATTAGTCCTACCACAGGGCTGTGTCACTCAGGAGTGCCCACACCTTTCCATATGCTGGTCCAATTCCCTTCAGTGGCTGGTGTCACACGTCTCTCTGGTGTTAATAACATGCTGTTAATAACATCTGCTCTCGAGATGAGCTCCTTGTTTTGACTGGCATCTTCCCCCCCCCCCCTTTTCTCTTACTCCTCTATTTAGGTGCTGCATAAATAGTCAATAAAGCAGCTGGCTCTGCCCAAAGGACTTTTTGTGAGTTCTTTTGCGTGGATGGGAATCCATTTGCTTCACTTCCAGAATGTAATGCGCGTTCTGGACCCTTTGACACAGATGACATGGACAACTAGACAAGGTTGGATGGCGCTTGGAGCACCCTGGTCTAGTAGATGATGTTTCTGCCCATGGCAGGAGGTGGAATGAGATGGTCTTTAAAGTCCCTTCCAACCCAAACCATTCTGTGATAACTAAAATACATGCTGGTTGTTTCTTTTGGAGTTTTTTGCATGTTTTGTACACAGTAGCTGGTGAGTTCCTGTCATGACTGAGAACAGCAGCACTCCAGCATGTTTTTTTAACGGTATTAGGAAACATTTTTGAAAAGTAATCTGTAAATTTCAAGAGATTCAGCCTTTGTGACTTTTAACTCTTTCCTGTTGTGCTGCCTCTCAGTATGTTCAAAATATTAAGGGAAAGCAGAGATTGCCTGAAGCTGCCTCTCCTTGGCCATCTGAGCAAACCCACGTTTGTGTAAAGCAGAACATGTCAAGTGATGTGAAAACATCACTGTGAGTCAGATTGTTTCTGCTTTCTGCCTCTCGGTGGTGGAAACTGGTGAGAATGCAAGCTCTGCAAATCATGGAATGGTTTGGGTTGGAAGGGGTCACCTCAATCCACCCCCTGCCATGGGCAGGGACACTTTCCACAAGCCCAGGGTGCTCCAGCCTGGCCTTGGACACTCCCAGGGATCCAGGGGCAGCCACAGCTTCTCTGCCCAACCTGGGCCAGGGCCTCCCCACCCTCCCAGCCAGGAATTCCTTCCCCATATCCCATCTAAGCCTGCCCCCTGGCAGTTTTAATGATGCCTGATGCCTGTGTTTCCCAGCTGAGTTCATACCCAGGCTGCCCCTCTGTCGTGCTTTGGGTGATGATGAACTGCTTTCACACACAATTAACATGTTGCATCACATCTGAGGCTCAGGGGTAGAGGAAATGCACGTTCCTTTTGGAACTGACCCCCCCCCCCCTCCCCCGTGGAGTCTCCTGTTGTTGTCACAGCTCTGAGTGTGTGAAAAGGGATTGTTAAAAGCTGCTGCTTTATTTAAAATTAAATAAAGAAGTCCTGCTGGCTTCGTGCAGCAACCTCTCTGCTTTCGGTGGAGCTGCTCTGCTGTAATAACAAATTGATTCAGCAAATACTTTTAGCCTGTGTTTGTGTTCCTGTCAGCGTGCTCAGGTTTCTTTAGAACACATTAATTGCACCCAGGTTCAGTGCAGCGTTGGCCTTTCAAGCTCTGCTGAATCACAGGCTGTGTCTGCACCACCCGTGCTACTTCAGGGATCGCATCAGACGCTTCAAACAGGAGGAAAGCAAAGGCTCCTGAACAAAGGCACGTTTGATCCAGGACTGGAATAAGGCTTTAAAAGCCTTGCTTAGATTTCTGCCTAATGTCTGGCTCAGGTAATCTTAATACAGATGAAATCTGAGAAGCCCTCAGAGCCTCAGGTGGAACAGCGTCACAGACGGTGTTTTATACTTGCGGTGTTGGCCAGAAATAATTTTCTGAGCAATAATACCAGCACTGAGCTGTTCATTCTGCAGCAATTACTGCTAGTGCTGGGTTGCTCACCCGTTGTGTTTGGAACTCCCCTTGACTCCGTATTTGAAATATAAATAAAGTTATTTTCGGCTTCAGCAAAACTGTGGAGGCAACTGTGTCAAGTGTGAGTATCCCCCATTGCTCTGTGTGTGGTGTAGGAAGGGGGAACCCTTTTGATCATCTCTCTAATGAGACACCAGTAATTCTCTGAAGCCAGAGAATTCAGCAACCAGGCTCTTATTAACTCCATCTCCTGAAAACAGCTCAGTTGTTTGAGAGCCACCTACACAGCTCTCTCAGTTAGATTTGATTCTCATGATGTCAGAGCCCCATGTGAAGATCTTTCATTTTGATCCTGCCATCTGATTCAGGCACGGGAATCTCGATGTCTTGTGTGGTGTTCCATGGAGTGAGCTGAGGGTTTTCTTGGAATGTTGAGGTCAGTCCACAGTACTTAATGTGGTGGGATCAAGGACTGCTCTCTCTAGACCAGAAAATGAGGTGGCCCAAATGTTCCTGAGCTTCCTGAGGAAGTGGCAGCCTTTAAAACCCTTCTTCCTCAGCCCCTGAGGAGCAGAAATACTTCTTTGCACACCCTTTGGACGAGTCTCTTCCATATTTCACCAAGGAACCAATAAAACATGCAATTATTTACGTGCCATTTTCTTGCAGTCAGGTTTGCATTTCGGGGATATTTTTTTTCCCCCCTCTTCCTTTAAAGGTTAGTTATATCCAGCTAGAACCAGTGGATGAGTGGTGTGCCTCTGAATCCCACTTTCTCAATGGATGCCTGTTGTGCAAAGCCTGAAGGTGACTGGGAAGAAAGTCATTTGTTCAGCAGATATATAATTACACCCTTGGCACAATTTAGGTGCAAGAGAAAATACCTCTTTTAATTGTGCAAAGCAGGAAATACTAGTGAAAAGCCTTCCTTCAAAAAAAAAAAATCAAGGGAATTTTTCCTTCTGCCTTCACTTTGACTGTGTGTTTGCCTTGTTACTTCTGCTCTGTGGCTTTGGCAGTCTCGTATGATTTTTTTTTTTTTTTGCCTTTTTTTTCCATCCAATAGCTCCTGCCTGAAGTGTGTGTGTGTCTTTCCTGGGAATTTTCTCAAAGGGAGGGTTGTTTTATTTTTACAGGCAGTTTACAACTTGTCATTTGTGCACTGTTGCAGAGGAAGAGGACGCTGAGGAGGTGCCAGAATTTCAGGTGTCTGGGAAAATTGGAGCAAAGAAGCAGAGGAAATTAGAGGAGAAACAAGCCAGGAAAGCCCAGAGAGAGGTGAGTGTTTCCTGCCACGTATCAAACCCTGAGCAGCAGAGCCTGAACAGCTCAGCAAAGAACTGATGTTTCCAATGGCTTGTGCCTTAATGTCAGCACTGTCTGCCCTTAAAAATACCCCCAGACCCACGTGGTGCTGGTGTGACACCCGTGGGCAGTTGTGAGTGGTGTTTTCAAGTGCTCTCATAGTGCAAAAAAAACTCGCCTTGGCTTTACCTGTGTTGTTTACAGAATATTCTGAGTTGGAAAGGATCCATAAGGATCATCCATTTATTGTTTTTATGGACTGGGAACAATTTTGCTGTTAATTCCAGGGCTTTTTGCAACTTTCTGAAGCGTGCTTGTGGAAGGCAGCAGGTTGTGCAGTAATTCCTTTGAGTTGCTCCCCATGTTTTTTGCAGGCTCTGTATGAACATTTTTTAATGTGTAGAGAGTCCAAACAAAGCTTCTGAAATCCCCAACTTGGGAATTTTAGTGCCCCCTGAGGTTTAAATCCAGTGTCTGCTTTACAGTGTTGTGGTACCTGCCCTGTAGACAGGGCAGTTGGTAATAAACTTAATTATTGTGTTATATATAAACTTCCATTGCAAACCTTTTCTCACTCACTCAGTGCCTTCATCATTTTGTTTTTACTTTCCATAATCATTCTATTTAACTGGCCTCTTTTTTGTGGAAAATCTGAGGAAAGTTGAGTGAAATTAGATGAGCATCAGTTGGTGGAGTGAGGAATCTTTTATTTCCTTTTAAAACATGCTGATTTTTACTTTCCCATGCAGACAGATAAATACCTTGGTTGGGGCTTTTTCTCTGAAACATTCAAAGCCACTGATCCTCCATTTTAATGTTTTCTGCTTGTTCTCTTAATATATTTTCAAATTCAAGTGTACTGAAGACGCTGAAGAAAAAAAAATCTATAAAAAATACACTGAACACCCTTTTTATTTTCCCCCATATCTCAACAATCTCTTCAGCTTAAAAACAAAACCAAAAGTATTTTAAGAGAGCAGTACAAGTTTTCTTTAAGGCATTCTGCCCAGGTTAATGATGAATTTGAATGCACTTGGTTTTACAGAGTTTATATTCCCAATCCTTTGTTTTCCTCTCCTTAGGGTCCGTTCTAACTAAACTTTAAGTGAGGAGAGATGGAATGCCACGACACAACATGGCTTAATATCACTGCAGTAATAAGCTCAAAACTTAAAGCCTTGTTGAGGGACAGTTAAAGACAAGGGTGAGGGGTAATCCTAAAAGGGAGGGGAAGTTAAATGATGGTTACATTTTATTATTATTATTATTGTTATTATTTTTAATGGTTCTTTCTTTCTGAGCACGGATTTAGGAAGACAGTAAGAAACCCCCTCACGCTGTCACAATATGAAATTTAAAAATATACATTCAAGGAGAGTAAGGCTTGGTTTGCATAATGGTTTTTGGTTGGTTTTTTTAGGCTGAAGAAGCAGAGAGAGAAGAAAGGAGAAGACTCGAGTCCAAACGGGAAGAGGAAAGGAGGAAGGAAGAGGAGAGGATACGGCTGGAGGAGGAACGCCAGGTGGGGTGTGAGTTGTGTTTATCCATGGACATACTGGACCAGGTTTGTCTTTGGAATTGCTCTGTGGGAGATCTGTGACGAGGGACCAGCTGGTGTGTCCTGCTCCAACCACGTCCAGGCAGAGCTGGTTGTTCAGGACTTTGAGCAGGAGAGCTCCGAGTGTCTCCTGAGGATGGAGATTTCCCAACTACCCTGGGCCCCTGTTCCCTTTGAGCTGCCAGCTGTGACCAGCAGGGCAGAAAAGGAAAGGCATCAGCAACTGATTTTGCCACTTTGGGTGTGTAAAATCATATGATTTTATTCCAATTATCCATATTTGCATGTGCCTCCAAATTAAGGTTCTCCAAACTGCACGTGTGACGCTCTGTGACAGCAGCAGCCACCCAGAAAAACAGGTGCTGCTCAGCTGAAATGCTTTTGTTGAATAATTTTCATCAGTGAGGGAGGAAAACTTAGTTCAGAGTTGCTTTGGGTACTGGGGGCATCAGTGCTGCTGGCTGAGAACTTCATGCTCTGGTGCTGCTGCAGGTTGTGGTGGCTTTGCTGCTGGAGGTCAGCACAGCCCCCAGCTCTCACTGGGGATTTTTTGGGATGCTTATGTGCATGGAAATTCCTGTCTCTGGTCTGTAGATCTATTTTAATTTGTTCTGAGTGCAGGTTGTGTAAGTGGAGTGTGTTGCTGATAACGTTTTCAGAAAGGAAGAGACAATTTTTCCTTTCCTCTGTCGGGGGCGTGAAGGCAGGAAAAAGCAATTTAAAAAAAAAAAATAATCCCCACATTGCACATGCAGATTGTATCCATGAGATCTTCGTGATCCATTTACCTCTGGAGGTTATTCCCTTCTGAAGTCTCTTATTTCCTTTTCATCAGTGCAAGTCTCCTGAATTTCAGAAATGGAAGTGGAGGAGAAGAATGTCTGTTCTGAACATCAGCTTGGGTGGCATAGTCCAAGACTTTGACTTGTAAAGCAGCTTGAACAAACTTCCAGGGCACCAGTAATTCCACAGCTTCCCCTTCCAGAGAGATGAACAAATCCAGAAGTACCTGGTGGGGGTCGAAGGGAGAACCCTGAGGTTGAACAGCTGATCTTGGCCACTCCAAAGGTGTGTTGGAACAGGCCTGGCTTCCTCTGGATCCAGGGCTGCCTCTTTTTCCCTGTCCACACACTCCAGCAGCACCAGCTCCTCCCTTCGAGGTCCTGCAGTCGCTCTACTCTTCCCCAAAGTATTTCCAGTTTCTCCCCCTCGTAATTCCAGCTTGGAAAGAGGCAAGATGAGCTCTGGCTGCCTCTAAAGCACCTCTCTCTGGGGCTTGGCTTAACTGGTAACTCTGATGGCAAGTTTTCCCTCTGGTGATTTATTCCATTTCATGTTTTGTCTCCACTGAGTTCCCTGAATTACGTATTTATTTGATTTATTTAATTTTTTTTAATGATTTCCCAGGGTTCTGAGAATTTAATATCCTTGAAACCCTGAAGAGTGAGCTGGGATGGCTCCAGTGCTTTGGGGGAATTAGGAGGACACACTGGCTGGACAATGACGTGGTGTGAGTGTCACTTCCAGTGGCACTGGAACTTCCAGGTCCTTCCAGGGAGAACAGGAGAATTCCAAAGCAAATTGCAGCTGAGCTTGGCCAACCTGCTCAAATGAAGCTGTGGGTGTTATCCTGGGATTGCCTCTGGGTTTGACCTGGGCTTTCCCTGGATAATCAGTCAGGCATGGCTGAAAAGCTGAGCAGAAAGTAAGGGTGAAATTCTAACCAGAGATTTCTTCACACACAGAGTGCTTATAACATAATTTATTTTTTTTTAATTGTTTCTATTTAGTTTAGGGCTGCATAATTTATTTTGTTTGAGTGAGGAAACCCTTATTTTAGTTTTCAGTATTCCTAGCAAAGACTGCACTAAAGCACTTCCACCTCTGTTTTGAAAGGCTCAGTGAAAAAGAGGAATATAAACCTATGGTGGTTGTGCTGATTTTTTGGGGCTCTGATTTTTTTTTTATTTGTTTTGGTTTTTAAATTTTGTGCACAACAATCCAAGGGAGTGCTTACTAGAATTGGGAAAATTGCTCAAGTGCCAGAATCCAGCTTGTTGTTCACCTTAGCCAATACCATCCTCAGCTACTTGAATTCTGTCATTTTAAGCCATTTTAGTTTGCTTTGATTGCTTGTTTTCCCCAGTATTTATCAGGACAGCAAAGCCAACCCACCAGGCTACATGAGCATCATCATTCTGCCCCTCAGAGGAGAATCCTTTCAATATTTTATTTTATTTTTTCCTCGATAATCCAGGAACTGCTGAACATTCCAAGTGTGTGTCGAAGTAAACGTATCTGACAATATTTAAGGTCCATCCTCACCTGTTTTCTAGTAATTTTAAATCTGTTTTTATCCAAGTCTTGAAGGGGAAACAGAATAACTCAAGACTTGCCCGTGTTTAGTCTGCAGTGCTCCAATTCCTGCTTCACTCAGCAAAGGCAGCAGCCCCACAGGGAGTTGGTAACAACAGACCTGCAGTGATTTAGCCTTGACAGGGTGATGGGAAGGGAAAAAAAATGGAATTAATGGATGCTTGATTACTGTGCCTGCAAGCAGAGCCCGTCTTTAGGATCATACCATTTTATCTTTCCAGTCTTGTTACAACTGATGGAGAAGATGCTGCCTCTCTTCTAGGCCCCTGCAAGCAGTGAAAGGATCACTGGGTTTATTGTGGGATTTGGAGAAGACATTGGATAAAATGTCATTTATGGATTCCTCTGGAGGAGGAATCCTTCCTTTCCACAGGGAGTGTTTTGTCACCAGTAAGCCCCTTGTGGGCTACACAGGGTGATGCTGTTCCCCCCTGTAAATCAGGAGATGGAAAGGCAAAATCCTGAAAGGTGGGTCAAGTACTGACTGATAGTCATGAGATAAAATCCAGGGAGTAGCTGATTGTGTGGTTTTTGGAGGCATTTTGACTACTGACATTGCTGTAGTTTATAAAATCCCACAGGGCTCAAAAAATTTTATGACTGAATTTTGTCTGAGAGTTGTTACAGTTGTCTGTCAGATAACCTCATTTCTCCCTTCCTTTTGCAGCACATCAGTGTATTTCTGCAGGTACAGTGACAGTGGCAGGTCCCCAAACAAGCACTGCCAGCTTTCTTAGCTAAATCCAGTGTCACCTTTTGTTCAGTCTCTCTCCTAAGAAGCAAAACCAAAATTGTGCTAAACTCTCTCCAAGGCAGTTATGGGGGCTAAAATCTTACATATGCTTGAGAAAAATCCCCCCCCTTGCTTCTATTTAAACACATTTGTGTGCACCTATAAATAAAATGTGGTTGCCCCTTGGCTCCAGTGTTGCAAACCAGATAATATATATATTTTTAAATTCAGGTTTCCTTTGCAGTGCTCTGCTGACCTGATTGGCTGCAGGGCCCGAGGAAGCTCCTTTTTAAATTGGCATTTGCCTCAGCCCTGCGTGGCCCTGGGGATTTCCCTTTCACCTCCTGGAGTTTTTTGGTGGTGAGCTGGTTTATCAATGAGAGCCGACTTCCTCTGATGTTGCAATGCAGGGTCTTCACACAAAGCCTTGCTGTTTGCTCTCTTAAGAGTTTTGGGGTTTTTTTTTTTTGCTCTTTGCCCGTGCACAGGGATTTTTGTAAATTGGCGTTTGAAATCCCTGCCTAAAAACAGTCTGGATCTTCAGAGCTGTGGAAAGGGAGGATCAGCCATGATCACAGGGGTCCCTCTTGGAGCTTTTTCAGAACTCAAACTCCCCTAAAGTTTTGATTCTTTGATTTGATTCTGGATCATGTAAGAAGGGGCACCAATTTTTAGTGATTTTCTTACGTTTGGCACTGTGTGAACACGGAGTGTTTCTCGGCAGAGCTTTTCATTTACCTGTTTGGCGTTTATATCCATTTTTTTTCCTACATAAACAGTGCATTTCTGGAGGCTGATGTGTCTGGAAATAAATCCCTGGGATGAAGGGGAGAGGCAAGCAGAACGTGATGATCAGAAAGGAACCTCACAGCGAGTGCAGGTCCTTGGTGGGCAGGTGGGAGTGGGTGCAGGGGGAGTTGGTGCTGACAGATCCGTTGTAGGAAGGGGTAAGGACGTTGGGAAGGGGGTCCTGGAGTGCTGAAGAGCATGGAGCTCTAGAATTCCGTATGTGACTGGTGCAAGCAGAGGCAGAGTCAATCCAGCAGTGATAATGGGGGCATTTTGACAGGGAAAAAAGAGAGGGAAGAAAGGTCTGAGTGACTATTTGATTTTCTGAATAAAAATATTGTCGAAGTGGGGTAGTCTGTTCTTCACATGCAGTGTAGTAAACTGATCAGAAAGCAGTCTTTACACTGTCCAAGTGTTCCACAGTTTGGGTAACATTTAGATGAGTGAGGAGAGATCAAAAAATTAAAAAAAAAAAACCAAACAACAAAAGCAGCTGAAATGGAGCATCTGCAGTTACCAAATTTCCAGGCTGCTGGGGTTTCCCCAGCACCCCACCCATGGCTGGGGGAGGTGGCCCGGCCTCTCTGAGCTCTGAGCCACAGCTGCACCGCTGAGATCTCAGTGGGGAGGGCTCAAAAAAAACCCTGCCAGGCCAAGATTTGGGGTTTCAAATCCCTGTTTTTGACCGAGTGCCCTCCGTGTGACTCGCAGGGCTCTGCTCCCTGAGCAGCCCCCGAGGGGCTGAGCCCGTTCCCGGGGCGTTATTCCTGCACACACACACACACACACTGGGTTTTGTGGGAATGCTGCAGCTTCCATGCAACTGCTGTGTGACTGGGGCATGTGGGAGGAGAGGGATGGTGTGCTGGGGGAACAAAAAAAAAGCTGGGAATAAATGTGACCAGACATCCTGGCTGCTCCAGGTTCCTCATCGATTCTCTTCCCCTTTGCAGTTGGGCAAAAAAGTCATCCCTGCTCTTGGCTCTGGACCAGGTCACAGCCTGGCTAAATCCTTCTTTTTCTAACAGAGACGGACTCGTAGGTGAATTGAAGTTGTAAAGTATATGAGAGTTGTGCGTGAATTTTTAATTATTAGATGAAAAAGCATCTGGAAGTGCTTTGTGCTACGGGAGAGGCTGCAGCCAGCGGGAAGCTTGGAGGGCTGACACACTCCAGCTACCAAAGCAGTGGCTCAGACCACCTGGAAATGCTCTGCTGAGCAGAATTTAAGCATCTGGAAAACAGATTCCCCTTGGCTTTTAAGCAGAAGAAAAGGGCTGGTAGCTTGAGCGCTTTGCCAGTCTCACAGCAGAGCTTCTTTTTAAAAAAAAATAAAAAAATTAAAGGTGCTGTTCTTCAGGTAAGGGAAGGAAGACAGGGAGGAGACTTTTCCATTTGTTAGACCTTCCAGAAACTGGAAAATACGTTTTAGTTATTTTTGCTCTCGGTTACAAATGGGACACTGTCTTCTGATCGTTTATTTATTTTGTAGAACCATCTAGAAATTATTTGCCAAAGCAGTTTTTGGGGTTTGTGACTATTTTTTTTCCCCCTCCATTTCAAACCCTGCTGAATTACCACCTCTCTTAACAGACCAGGGGAAGAACCTTATTCATGGCTTTCCAGGATCAAGATTAAATTTATTGTGCCTACAAGAAAGGAACAATTGTTGTCACTTCCAAATGAAATATGGTTTTGTTGTTCTTGGCACCTGTAATGCTTATAGGGAGAAAATGTGCTGTTGGGCTAATTGTTTCAGTGATGAATGACCCAAAAATGGGCTTGTTTTGTCTCAAGAGCTTCCTCAGATCTGTAGATTTTTTCATGAAATAGCAATTTAAAAAAAAATGGCTTTGGCTTTGCAGATACAGTAAAGAAAAAAACTTTCAGTCCCGTTTTTCTCGTCCTGGGACGTTGGCAAGAGTCTTTGCCCTGACTTTCTGGGAATTTGGTTAAATAAAATTGCAACCAAATAGTCTTTTCTCTTGGTTTTTTCTTACTGAAGGGCAACTCTCCCATCCCCACTTGTGGTACCTCGCTGGTCTTGGCCTTACAGGGCATCTTTTTTAATATGGATATATTTAATGACTTGTTCCTGTATCTTCCCGGTTTGATGAAACAAATGTTTGCTTTTCAGCTGTTAAAGGAAGCAATTACCATATTAGTGTCAAAGCTGCAGCATGGCAAGCATTTAGAAATCAATATAATTGTTCTTTAAAAGATCAATTCCTGTGCTGATGGCAAAGGAAAGCCCCGAGATTGTCACTGCAATTTGAAGAGCTCGTCTGTCCAAGGTTTTAATCAGCCTTTGGAATGTGATAGAGCCAGAGGCCAGTCCATTTGGAATACCCTTGTTCCAGGTGCTGCACAAACATTAATTTCTCTGTGGGAGAAACGGCCCTGTAAGGAACCATTTTTATTCTCTGTGAATCATAAAAATCATTTAGTTTGGAGAAGACCTTCTCCAAGATCGTCGGGTCCAACCCTTGAATTTACACTTGTAAAGTGTTTTGGAGAAGAGCAAAATATAAATTTGAAGAGAGCATCATGGAAAGCTGCAAACTTACGAGCTTCCAGTAAAAACCTGCTCTTATTTGAATCATATTTTAAGTAATCCGCCACATTCCCAACCCTTTAATCCCAGTTTTGCTTTGTAAATGTGGGAATTCTACAAAACCACGTCACTGACGTTGGGCTTGGAGTTTTTAAGACTCATATTTTTTTTTTTCAGGGCAGGCAACAAAGTATTTTATTGCAGATAACTAAAAACAGAGCCTGAATATTTTGGTTAACAGTCAACCATGCAAACCCCCCCTTTTTTAGTACAATCCTACCTCATTTCCTATACCTAAAATACTTTATACTGTTCTTTACCTTCCAGGCAGGCACAGCTTGCTGAAGGAAAGTTTTCATGAGGAGGAGATTTTACTTGAAAACTTGATTTTACTTGTGACTCTTCCAGAAGGAGCTCTGGGTGGACACACCAGTGGAACTTCCTGGTGAGCACTCCCAGCGTGCTCGAGTGTCAGAGGAGCAGAACTGGGGGCCAGTTACCAAAAATGTGGCTGTTGTGGCATCGAAGTGCAGGTTGGGGCAGGGACTTCCTGTCACGGGATCTGCAGAAGGAGCAAATTCATGCAAATTGAGCCAGCAGGTTGCTATTTAAGAGTGGTTCTGTGCCCTCTCTCTCAGACCTGGTGTGAGCTCACGCCATGTGTGAGGTGGTCACTGCCTCAAGGGTGGCCTGCAGAATTAGTGATGCCACCAAGGGAGAACATCAGCTCGTTTTAAAAAGCTTTTTTAATCTCCTGACTGCAGAGAAAGAAGCTGCTGCTTCACTTAAAAACTAAACCAGGCTCGGGGAGGAGCAGACTGACCCCTTGTCATCTTTTCCTTCCAGGAAGAGGAAAAAAGGAAGGCAAAGGAAGAAGAGGAGAAAAGAGAGTATGAAGAGTACCTGAAGCTGAAGGAGAGTTTTGTAGTGGAAGAGGAAGGGGTTGAAGAGGCAATGACAGAGGAGCAGGTACGTGCTGGGCTGGGTCTGCAGTTCCCTTTGCACTCACTGCATTCTGCCTCCTGTAAAATGGACTGGAGAGGAGGAGTCAGCCAAAGGTTTTTGCTTGTGAGAGCTAAATTGTGTCTGTGGCACAGGTTTAACCTGGAATATTCCCTAGGGAATGCTGCAGTTCCTCATACCAGACCCCCATGAGTTAGTTCAGAGTGCTAAAGGAAATGCATGTCACTGGAAACCAGTCCTTTCCTCCCTCATCCTGAAATGAAACTCCTTCTGGAATTAAAGATAATCTTTTACTGTCATCGCCCACAGAGAGTGAGCCCACGAAGGTAAATTTGGAGTTTGGTGGTGCCCACAGATCTTGGGGGCCATTGCTTGGTTTTGGTTTTATTTTCTCCACCAACAGAGCTGCTGTGAAATCAAATGAAAAACCGAGTTCTTGTCTTAAAAGGCTTTTGGTAAGAGAATCCACAGGACACAGCCTGGGTGCTTGTGGGTTTTTACTCTGGAAAATTATGCATTTGATGTTGCAAATGGTAATATTTCAAACTGATGCAAAACATCCCTGCGTGCTCTCCTGTGACCGCCTGCAAATGAGCTGCTGGGGGGGTGGTGGTTGAAATGTGAGACTTGGTGTGATTATCACAGCAAACCTGAAGAAGTTCTGCTGTTGGGGGAGGCAGAGCTCTTGCTCTGTCTGCTGAGAACCTGTTAGACTCAATTTATTTGCCATCAAATGCTGGGCTCGCTCTTGGGTTGTAGCTGCCAGATTTGAGCTGTCCCCTGCACTGCGTTCAGGAGGATTTATTTCAGGGCCATCTGTGCATTTGCTCCTCTGCTGAAATGACCCTCTTGAATTAAATGGATTTGCTTCAGTGTGACTGAGAGTGGCTTTTGGGCTGAGGAGGTTTTGCCTAATGTCAAATAATATTGGCTCATTGGAGTTTCTCGTTGTGGATCCCTTCCCATTAAGAAAAATTCCTACGTCTCACTGTGATTAACTCCAAGGGAAGTTGTGTTAAAAAGGGATGCAGAGAACAGCAAAATGCAGATTTCCCATTGAAAGTTCCTTCAAAAATCTGTGCCTACCCTGTTAGAAGATGAGTTTATACCTAAATACTAAATTGTTCCGCTTCAGCCGCCCTTTCAAGCTGGAATGTGTTTTATTGCCCACGTTCCCACAGCTGCCTGTCGAGAAGAAATGAGTCTTTCTGTATGTGAGAACACAGAAGGGTGTTCCTCACCTTGAAGAGGTTGGCAGGCAGCTGATGGTGCCTGGATGTCAACCCGAGATAACTTTGGTCGGGGTGGGGAGTTGGAACTTTTAATTGGGGGTGACTTAAAAGTCACACTCAGAAATGAGAACATGCAGAAAGGACAAGCCACCCTTGCCTTGTGGTGGATGAAGCACTTCAGTGTCCTGTTACAAAAGCTGACTCTGCCTCGTGTTGTTGGGGCTGCTGTGCCGAAACTCCTGCTGAAAATTAAGCTCCCGAGCCCAGAGCTAAGCAGTTAATTAAGGCTGATTGATTTCCAGGGCTGCAGGGTAACCTGATCTCTCCTGTTAACTTCAATGCACGTTGTTTGCACTGCCTTTGGAAATGGAGCTGCTCACATTAAGGCACTGGATTGCAGGTGCATGGCTTTGTGAAAGGGTTGAGCCCTCACTTGGCATCTGCAGGAGCTGTGTCCTGAGTCACCGTGGGTTTTACCTCAGTACAAAACATCCCCACTGTCTGTATGTAACTTATTGAAGCTCAAACCCACCCAGACATGGTTATTTCAGGGAGTGTGTGATGGGAAGAGTGAAAGATTCAAAGATTTCCTTTCAGAAAACACTTAAATTGCACCTGAGCCACAATGTCTTAGAAAATACTTGTCATAAATCCCTCATGAGGTTAAATTTCAGATAATTTTTATTTCCAGTTCAGTGTCCCGGTGTGCACAGTTAAAACTTCAGGATTATGCAACCTAAGCCCTTTTATGATGTTTGTACTCAGCAAGTTTGTGGTGCCTTTAATGTTCACGAATTTACAGTAACAGTTGTTTCCCTTGCTGTGTCCAGTCTCGCAGCTTCCTTTTGGAATTCCTGGAATATGTTAAGGTAAGCTGCAATTGCTCTTTCTCCTCCTTCCCTGCTTGTTAGATTTTTGTGAAAAACCTTCTGTCAAAGAGGGGGGCATCTTTACCTGCTCTTTGATTTGCTTAAATATTCAGCAAGTAACAAAAGTGATACCTTATAAGATAAGCTTTATTTACTGAACCATCACAAGCTGTTAGAAGGGTTTGTAATTACAGCCCTGTCTTGGCTTTTTGGGGCAGGATGTGGCTCTTACCCTCTTATACAAAGGCAGGCCTGGTGAATCACCCCCAAAGTTTAATGTTTGCTGTAGGGTTGGGATTTGGGACATTCAGCCTTTTCTTTTTGCTGGTGTAAATCAGCCACTGATTTAGAAAACAACCTCTGCATCTGAGCTCAGCGGGAGTGAGAGTTGCTGTGGCAGCATGTGCTGCCATCCAGGGAGTGTCTGCGCCTCAGACACTGCCTTGGAAAGGTCAGTCCCAACTTTTTTTGTGTGATCATCCATGCAATGTTGCCTTAACGAAGAAGATCACTTGTTTTAAACAGGATGTGTTAGTCAACCTTTCATCATTTTGTGAGGTTGGGTACTTAAAGCCTTTGGCATATTCATGGGTATTTCTGCTTTTGATCTGTAAGGACAAATGCCTTGCTCTTCTCTACTGCTGTATCAAAGGTCTGATGGTGTTTTTCTCCTCTGACAATGTTATGCAAACCTTGTGTCCTGATGAATCCCTTTCCTCCTTGGGTGGAAACTCAGCTCTCAGGACGTGTGGTGTGCGTGTGAAAGGCTTCTGGAGTAAGCAAATCACTTGCATGCTTAGCAAAGTCCTGCTCATTCTGTAATCCAAAATCTCGCACTCTGGGCCAGTTTTTTGCTTGTCTTGTTATCCCAGCAAACCCCTGGATTTACCTCATGGACTTACAAACAGATTTGCCTCGTGGATAACTCCCTTTTAGGGTGGGAGGGGTTGCCAGGCAGGGCCAAGAGCTCAGCGTGGAGTCCTCCCAGAGCTCTGGTTTCAGTGTCCCTCAGGATCTTCCACAGACGCTGGGAGAGCTCCCAAGGGATGCCACAGCTGGCTCAAGTGCTGCCCTTTGCCCTGCAGTGGAACAGATTAGTCACAGAGTCCCAGCTCGGGGTTTAACCCTCGTGTCTAGTTTTAGATTAGTCACTTCATCCTGACGTCAGAGAAGTTAAACTCGGTCTGAAAACCGAATTCAGCAGCGCCTCAACACCTGATTTCCTCTGTGGGGATGAGCTGCAGAACTGGGGCATGACTTTAAGTGTTTTTCTTTAATCTTGAATGCGTGCTTAATATATAGATTATGTATTGCCCTCATCTTCTGTTCACAGAAAGTCTTGACAGGAAGCAGCGCTGAGCCGCTCAGAGCTGTCTGAAAAAATGTATAAATTAAGAGTAATTGGCATTTTTTTAAAAAGTAAAATTGAATTTAGCTCTTCTGTTGAATAACTTATTGTGCTGCTATAACTGACTGGAGATATCTCACCCTGTGCTTCATTCCTGAGGGTGTTGGGAGTAAAATGCAGCCTCTTGCTCCGTTCCATCCCTCGGTGAGGCCAGCAGCAGAATCACACCTAAAATTAAAGGAATTCAGGGAAATGTGGATGTGTATATGTTGCTCTGTGGAAATCAGGCTTATTTCTAGAACGTGGAGCGTGTGGTGAAGCGTTTGATTCCCTTGGGACCTCCCATTGTGGTTCCATTTCAGAGCGTGTGGGGGGGGATGCATCCTAATTCCACCCCACCCCCTGGGCTCTTATTCACAGCAGGATCTGCCCTGGAAAACCTTCCACTAAACTTGGTCACTGAGGGTGAATATCTTTGAGTGAAGGTGTAAGTCCTGTTCTTCTGTTTGTGTGGCTTTGCACCAACGCCCCCTCACGCCCCCCCAATGCTTTTAAAAGAAGATGTGACGAATGTTGGCAGTTCCCAGCTCTGAGAACTGAATTCCATGGACTGGTTCCAGTTCCATGTGTTCAGTCCATGGTATTCAGTTCTCTAGCTTGGCTGCATCGAACTTCACAACTGCTAAATCTGGGAAGGGGGGGGGGGGGGCTTTTTTTTTTTTGGTCTGATTTTATTAATGAAAAGAGATTAATCTATTTCAGCCTCCCTTGATTTCTTCAGTGTCCTTCCAGTTGTACTCCCAAGAAACAAATGAGTTTATTGTTTTGAAGGATTGCATTTGTTAATGGAGATGCAGCTCCTGTGGCCATATAGATATGGATTTTAGGAACGTGGTCCTCAATATTAACTGAACTTTTCGACAGTTTTGTGTTTTCCAAGCTCCTTACAAACACTTACAAAGAGATGAGTCCCTAAAGCTTTGGCAGAGAAGAAAACAGGAACCGAGCAGCTCCAGATGAGCACACCAGGTGTTTTCTCTGGAGCTCCAGAGAAGCATAAAAACAGATGTGAGCAGTGGTGGCTATGCCCTGACTGATAAAACCTGCAGGAGGAATCTCTATCAGAAGCAAAATGACAATTTGAAGTTCCAGCACTGACAATTTTAATCAGGTGTTTGCTTGCTTAGGAAGATTATTGTGGCATTAATACACATGACATTGGTAAAACAGACTAAAGCACTTAATGCTGCCAGTCTTGGCTGGATTTTGTGGATGTACTGATACATTCCAGGGATGCTTTTAAAAGGTACTTTGAAACACCTCTCAGAGAAAAAAAGGATCTTGATAAAGCACCCTGGAAATTAAAGGTAGCAGCTGAGAAACTCAGATGCCAGGAGAACAGGGCCATGGCTGTTCATTGCGCTCATCCTAATGTAAGAAAAAGTCCAGGATAAATGCTGGCAAATGGATTTGAGTCTTCCTCCTAAGTGGGTCAGGGCACTCAGTCTTTCCACAGAGCTCACTGGTTTAAGTAATTTGAGAGTTTTTCATCAGGGAAAAAAATAAAAAAAAAAAGTGCTTACTTGGAAAAGTTAGTGAGAGTGACAGGTTCTGCTTTGTCTGGTAAATGCAGTTTGTTATCTGAATGGAAAAAAAAAACCAACAAAAAGCCAACCTGGTAATGCGTCAGCTGTGTGCAACTCTGCTTTGTTTCCATAGAAAACAAAGGTCATCCAGCTGGAGGACTTGGCTTCACATCTGGGTCTAAGAACACAGGTGAGCACTGACTTTTGGGATTTAAGTATTGACTTTTGGGGGCAAGTACGAGCAATGAGTTTAAAAGGGCAGGAGAGGTAACAGGTAAATGAGGGTCTGTCTGTGGGAGTGTCTGAGAATTAGTGAAAATGCTTGGATTTTGGTGAGGATCAGCAAAATCAGCCCTAAAAATGTGGCAATTCATCAAAGTACCAGCCAGGCAGGGAAGGGTTGTTGGCTTACAGGATTGGAGCAGTGAAAAAGTGCTCAGTGTGGCCCTTTCAGAGCTGCCTGTTGGTTAATGGATCCCACAGCGTTTGTGAGTCTGGAAATGGAGCAGCATTTTGTGTTCTGTGCCTGATCTGATCCTGGGGTGTCCCTTCACAGCAGCTGACACTGCCCTGAGCCCAGGCTGCTGTGCCCCTTCCTCTCTCTCTTAAACCAGAGCTCCATTTAAGCTTGCAGTGAGTCACTCAGGGCTGAAATTTAAACTGTAATTTGCCTCTGCAGTTACATAAACACAGGAAAGGGAGAGAGGCAGAAATGTGGAAAGCAAGGCTTGGATACTTAAGGTGTAGTGGAACTGTTACATAGAGTTAACTCAGCCATATATTCAACAAGCTGTTGCTTTGGATTGGTGAAAGAGGTAATTAAAAGTCTCCTTTTGGGTTGGTGAAGTTACTTGAACACCCAAAAAATGCAGCAAATTCTGAGACCAAAGGGCTTATTGCATCTATCTGTGTGGGAATAGTGGGGTGTGTCCTTCCCTGAAGCCCTTAACACTGAGGGATTAAATGTAAACCCCTGTTTGTCGTTTATCTGAACCTGTGAAGTGTTTTCTGCCTCCCTTTTGATCAGTTTGTTGTTCCTTTTTTTCCCTCTTCTGCACAGGATGCAATTAACAGGATCCAGGACCTGATGGCAGATGGCACTTTGACAGGTGACAGCCAAGGCACAGAGGGGGGATGAGAGGTGGTGGTGCAGGATGTGCCTTCCCTGTGGCAGAGAGGGATTTCCAGTGTCATTCCTGTCTTAAGGATCCTCGTAGAACTTGATATCT